GGCAACCTTCTTGCTGCGAGGCGACAGTGCTACCAACTGCGCCACCCTGCAGCCCCAACTTTGTACATAATTCCTTATTTAGGAAATCACAGTAAAAAGCATGTCATGCTGTCCTGAATTTTGAGCAAGGTTTTAATATATCTACCTCTCTATCACTCGATCATCAGCAACGTGTGTTTTTGTGGTTGGAGAAATGCATGGATCTTGCATATATGAGCACAGTTGTGAGTAAGCTGTTTTTTTTTGTTTTCTGTCCTGAGCTCTGACTTATTCATTTTCTAGCAAAAGGTACATCATGAATACAAAGGAACATTTCACACAAAAATGTGACAAGGTTGTTGAAAAACACTTTTAGAGGCTCTGTCGAACTACTCCCACCTCTCCACCTTCATTGGAAAATAAAATGTTGAATTTCAAACTTTTAAAATGGTTGACTTGGAGCTTTATTAATCGTAAGTTTAAATTTAGTATTTTGATTTCAATCAAAATATGCCACTTGTGGGTAAGGGACTGTACTATTAATGTGTGTCTCGCTGACATAGCCAGTAAGCCTTGGACATAAAATGTTAAGGGTAATTATTTTTAGTTTTAATAACTTTAAATTTCACAAGGGCAATGGAGAACTACATATACAGTTTATCTCAGAGGACAGTAGATTAAGTCCTGTGTACCGTTCTCCTCTTCAAAGGTGATGAGTGCCTGTCCTCCCCGCAGAAGCACAGCGGCTCTCTGGCTGATGGTAAACACTCCTCTGACTGGCTGAGTGCCGCCATCTGTCCCGTCTCTCACCTCTTTATTGCGGGCTATGAACTTTACCTCTGTGTCTGGAATCTGAGCATAGATCTAGACAGGGACAATACACAGTTAGTGTCCATTACCTCTGACATTACAAAGTCTATAATACATACATACAGTTAAAATTAATCGTTTTATTATTTGATATGGCAATGCACAGTTATTATGCATTTAAATGAAATGAAATGAAGGAAATGAAAAATAAAGTGTGCCATGTTGTGTGTTATTGTGTTAAAATTAACACAATGAACTGGGCTTGGTGACAGGTTTATTTAGAAAGGAACAATTAGAGCTGGTGGACAGGCCTATTGTCGTTCTCACCTTGAATTTCTGCTTCAGCGTGCTGCACTCAGCCCTCTTACCCTCCAATTCAGCTTGAACTCTCTTCAGTTTCTCCAGTAAAACTTGTTTGCGCTCAGCAAGCTTTACAATTTCATCCTATATAAAAGAATAAAGTGAACAAATGTAAATTACTCCTTCTCAGCTCTTCCCAGCAGCCTGCAGATGTTACAGCAAGGAAGAAAATAAGTGTACCTGCATTCTGCTCATGCTTTGAGTGAAAGCCTTCTGACATTCCCCTTGCTTTTCCACACAAGCCATCATCTCCTGCTTGGCCTTTGTCTTGACCTCATCTTCCTCCAGTTTTTCCAATATCAGCCTGGCTTTCATATCATCAGCTTTCTCTATCTTATTCTTGAAAACAGGACAAGTTCAGACTGAATACAACTACACCTGAGTGCAGTTTGCAAAGACACTGATTTCAAAGAGGAAAGTACATTCAGTTCCTAAAGGTGACAGATGCTTAACACATAAATTAATTGCTGTCTGTTAATGCCTTGACCATCACTAATTACATTCTGTTTACGTTGTCTGCATAGTTAAAATTGTCTCCATGGCAAACATCTCAACCTGATGATGGCTGGACAAATAAAACCAAAACTATCTGCATTAATCTCTACTATTAGAGAAAGCAAATCACTACACTGCAAAAGAAAAAATCGTTTTGATGGTGTTAACATCATACTGGATGAAGAACATTTAAAATAGTCTAAAATAGTTCAAAAATAATAATGCAATTTCAAGAAAAAATAGTGGACATCACTGCACTGTGCAGCTAAAACAAGGATCCTAAATATTTGGACCAATTATTTTAGGATGTTTTTGAAGGCTTGGCACTGGAATGCTGTCCGACCTGCTAAACACGTGACACACCATAAGCAGGAAAGACAATCTGGCTCTCCCTGCCTCTCCCATCACAATCTTCATCCAGCTGTCTTTAAATGTTGTGAAACCAAAACTGACATTACAACAGATGGTTTCATGTTAATGTTTGACAGTGCAGGTGCTTTAGCATCTTTGAACTTTATTGCTTCAATATAAAGACAGTTACCTTGTTGACCTGATCTAAAATATGCATCCTCAAATTAACGTCAACTTTCAGGACAAAATAATTATAGTCCTTGTAATACTTGCAATGCACTGTCTGAATGAACCCTGTGACACTCCATTCTTATCTGTTATAGACGTGGCTGGGGACACCCACAAGTGAAGTGTAACTTTAAATGTTTACCATTTTAACTAACTTCACCTGTGAGTCTACTCTGTATACTGTTCTGAAATAAATGTTCATGGTGAAGCCTCACAGCGTAGTTACACTCTGTGACTGTAACTCCATATTGAGTATACATTTTGGAGCAGATTGGACTTTTCAGCAACAACAACTTCTGTTTTCATGATGATATTCGTAACATCATTTAGTGCAAAGTCACAATTTTGATAACTTTGCATTACAAAGGTCTTTCAATGACACCAAGCAAATTTGAAGTTATAAAAACTATGTGAAACTGGTACTGATACAAGTGCTTTTAAATGGACTGCAGCTGCAGGTTTGGAGCAGGAACGTTAACGGTTAACAACAGCTGACCGCGCTTACTGTTCAAGTGAATAAAAACTGCGCTAACTGGGCCCTGGTCTTGTTCTCGGGTTGAAATGACGGACATACCTTCCATGTCTGCAGCTCTTCCTGGGCCTCCTCCAGCGGACTGTCCTCCTTCAGATCTCCCACCATCTGACACACACGGACACTCTCAGCTGTTTCTACTTGTCGTAGGAACGTACTTTGCTGGAACAACTGAACACTCCTTACCTTTTCCTGGTCGAGGATGTCAGCCATGTCCTCACCGACGAAACTCAGCTAAGTGTGAAAAACAAATAAGTCCGTCCAAAGCACCCACTAGAGCCAAACTGTGAACGTCAGGGTGCTACTTATTGATTTATTACTTTTGTTTCGAATTGTACTGTGATAAAAGAGACTGAACCCAGAACACAAACTGCAGCTCCAGTCCCGACGACGGCTTGGAAATCGAAAGTAAGAGCCGGAGTGACGTGTCCTGTACGGAAGCCCGAGGGAGCGACAACTGCGCAACACTTGATTTCTGTACATGGTGTCTGTGAGCTGGTGTTGGTCCTCTTTGAAATAGAAAACGGTTTAAAAAGGGAAACTTTCATGTATTATATATTCATCACATGTAAAATGAGCTATTACAAGCCTTTTTCTGTTTTGTTGTTGGTGAATATGGCTTGTAGCTCATGAAAATAAGAAATCTGGTATCTCAAATTATTAGAATATTTCATGTTATTGACCAGAATTAGAATTTATAATACAGAAATGCTTAAACTCTGAAAAGATGTTAATTTATACACTCAATATTTAGCTGGGACTCCTTTACAAAGAATTACAGCATCAATGCAGTGTGACATGGAGGTAATCAGCCTGTGGCCCTGTTGAGGTGGCATTGAAGGCCAGGTTGCTTTGACAGTGGCCTTCAGCTTGTTTCTTGTCTTCCAGCAGTACCCCACACATGGGGTTCTATGGGGTTCAGGTCAGGTGAATTGGCTGGCCAATCAAACACATTAACATCATGGTCAGCCTGGTTGGCACTGTGGCCAGGTGCTAAGTCCTGCTCTCAAAGCAAATTAGCACTTTCATAAAGTTTATCAGTAGATGGAAGAATGAAGTGCTGTAAAATCTCCAGGTGGCAGCGTTGACTTTGGACTTGATAAAACCCAAATGGACTGGACTTCTGGTCAGGACACTGTTAAGATGTCCCAACAGAACCAAAGTAATGGGAGAAATACCCCCATACAAATTAAGGAAATCAATCAGACTAAAAGCATAAAGAAAGGGGGTAAGACATCAGCAATTCTACAATTTCATTTAGCAGACACTTTTATCCAAAGCAACGTACATCTGAGAGCAGATACAACACAAGCAAGGATCTAGTCAAGAGAAAACAATCTGGATAAGTGCCATAGAACAAGGTCAAGTGTGAGAGGGCGTAGATGCCAATAGCAGGCTGTAAGGAGGAAATAGGATTTTTTGTTTCTTTCTTTCTTTCTTTCTTTCTTTCTTTCTTTTCAGTCTGTCAAGTGCAAAGGTGTTCAGTGAAGAGCTGGGTCTTTAGTCTTTTCTTAGAGACTGAGAGGGAATCAGCAAGCAACATCTACCAAAGACACCAAGATGTAAGTGCCAGAAGAAAGCAGGGGTGAGCTAGAAAGCAAAAGAACAGCACTTAGCTTTTCTAGTTCCTCTCTCAGTCCTTGGTATTTTTCAAGCTTCTCATGCCCCTTCTTTCTGATGTTACTGTTACTTAGGATTGCTACAACTATCACTACTACAACTGCCTTCCTCTGCTGTTTATCAACCACCATGATGTTTGGTTTCGTAGCCACCACAAGTTTATCAGTCTGGATTTGGAAGTTCCAAAGGATCTTGGCTCAGTTATTTTCTTTCACATTTGAAGTGAGAAGTTGGTGAAACATCTTCAAGAATCTACAAGGGAATCCCAACGACTGAAGCTCCTATGATTACCATGACCTGGATGACTGAGAATCTACAGAGACACCTTTGAAATTGTCTTCCATCTTGATCCAGCCCATGCAGATGTTTCTGTACACTATGCCAGCTACTTGGTTATGGTGTTCCATGTATGCTGTGTCCACCTGCCTCTTACAGTCTGCTGTTATGTGCTGTTCTGTCTCAGGTTCATCTTTGCACAGCCTAAACCTGGGGTCCTGTCTGGTGTGGTGGACCCTGGCCTCTGTTGATCTTGTGTTCAGTACCTGTGCTTGTGTTGCCATGATTAGTGCCTCTGTGCCGTCTGCCAGACCAGCTTTTCCAGCCACTGCTACGCTTTCTTGATATCAGCCATTGCTTTTATCTGTCCATGGTACAGGACATGCAGGGGCTTGTCCTTCGATGATGGTTCTTCTTCCTCCTCCATATTATCTTCTTTCTGCTGCCTGAGGTATTCACATAGCAGGTCATTAAACTACATTTATTTTCTAAAGACGTTCTTTGGCAGCCGGAAGAAATGGCATACTTGTCTGTATGTAAAGACAACCAGTGATAATGAGGAGGTCACATGACTCCCTGCCAGCTGAGTAGCAACGTGCTCTCGGGATCAGAAGTTGAACCTGACATATGACTGCTTGATAGTTTATGCTGCATTCGCGGGCTACTGAGAACTCGGAATTTTTGCTTCCGATTTTGAAATTAAAAAGCAAAGCAAAACAAACAAACAAAAAAAAAACAACTCGGAGTCGGACTTCCCATTCCTTAACAAGTTTCGTCAACTTCTGCTTTAAGTCATTCCCCAAAATAGCAGCCTACACATTAAACGGCAGGTAAATACAGCTTCTCTACACTTTAAATGCTGAACAAAGTACCTTCTCAGCGCTTCAGTTTTTTCCAGTTTTTCCAGTTCCAGATTTTCATGTCTGTTGGCGAACATATATTGTGTCTATGTAGGCAGCTAGTATTTTACCCACTCCATGCATCACGCGTACTGAGGTCGAAAGTGACATAATACCGAGGCCCTTGCCACTTCCGAGGTACAGCGAAAGCAGCATTAGCTGGTCAACAGCGTCACTAGCCAAGTAGCAGAAACAGGTCGCCGAGATGCGTTGGTTTGAGGGATCAATTCCTGATGCCATTAACTTGGCTAAACAGCGGGGCTTCGTCTTTGTCGTGGTCATTACAGGTAACTGTATTTGTGTGGAGACGAGCCGTGTAGCTTACTCGTGCTTACATTGGTAACAAGTGAAAGGCTGAAAAAGCAGTAGCGCTGCTATGCTCGCCAGCTAGCCGTGTTAGCCATCAGAGCCGTAGACAGCTAGCATAGCCAACCAGCTGTCAAAGAAATAACAAATGTCATGAACATTAGAGGAAAGTGACCCACCGAAAGCAAGAATACAGAAATAAAGAAACCCAAATATGATGTAGAACAATATGTGATCGCAACGCTCTGGTATCAGGAAGTGACAGTTTGTGTCCAACAGTGTCTGTTGTCCCTGTTAGCCGAAGCAGATTAACTGAACGCGAGCGTCCGTGAAGGCCAGCTCGATGATTTTACAGTTAAGATATAAGACAGTAATGATCCTTATGACAGGACAGATCAAGGCAGCGGATCCCTCTGATATGACTGTTACGGTCGGGTTACATGCAAATGATATCCGATTAAACTCATTTCTAGCAGCTAAATTGTTCTGGGACCAGTGGGAGTTGGATCATTATTGCATCATAGTCACCAGCATGAGCTGGGTGCTGTTTGTTAGCTGTTTTACCATTGTAGCTTTCTGGAAAGTATGTGACCGTGATGGTTTATTTTATTGACAGATAGCTGTGACTAAATGCCTCCTCACTGATTGTGTCTGTCCTCAGGGGAAGATGAACAGTCGGTGCAGCTAATGTCCAGCTGGGAGGATGACAGAGTCTCCGAGGCAGCACGGAACTGTTGTGTGGCCATCAAAGTTGATGCCAAGAGGTACTGATCTGTTACATTAAATGCACAATACACAGTCCAGAACTTTTATTGGAAGTTAACTACATTACAGCATTTTCCTCAGTGTATTGTGATTTGGTAACTGATATTGCTCTCCTCATTGTCTTTCTGTAGGACTTACGAGAAATGGGTGTGATGATGCTTATGAACCTGACATTTACAAAACTACTATGTACAGTTGTGAACAAAAGTTTGCATACACTTGTAAAGAACATGCGTCTTTGTCACAAAAAAAACAATCAGGCAATTTTGTTATTATAGATTTATTATAGGTCTGCTGGGATTATGAAATTTGCCGGGTCAAAATATACATACAGCAATGCTAATATTTGGGTCAATGTTCTTTGGCCGTTTTGACCTCAACTAGATGCTTTCTGTAGCCGACCACAAGCTTCTGGTTGTATCTTTGACCACTCCAATTGGTGCAGTTGAACCAAATGTGTTAGCTTTTTGACAGGAACTTGTTTCTTCATCACAGTCCACAGGTTCTTGAAGGGCTTTAAGTCAGGATTTTTGGAAGATCAGTCGAAACTCTTAATTTTTGCCTTTTCAGCCATTTCTTTACCACTTTTGGTGTGTGTTTGAGGACCTCAGTCTCATTTTGGCTGCTGATTTTAGATTTCCTAAAGATGTGGTGGTAATCCTCCTTCAATCCCCAGTTCCACTGGCCGCAGAACAACCCCAGAGCATGCTGCTGCCACCACCATGCTGGTGGTGTATAGCTTAATAGCTTAATTTCTGTTCCATCTGACTACAGAACTTTCCTCCAGAAGGCCGTTTCTTTGTCCATGTGATCAGCAGCAGACTTCAGTGGAGCTTTAAGGTTCTGCTTCTAGAGGAAGAACTTCCTTCTTTATTAGCCTCTCAGCTCATGTTGATGTCAAACCCTGTGGTCACTGACAGCTGTGTTCCAGCAGCTTCTGATTCATTCAGAGCTGCTTTTTAATTATTCTTGGTTGACTCTTGACCATCCTGACTAATCATCTCTCAGCAGCGGCTGCTTGTGTTGTAGTCCTGATTATGGCAGTGACACAACTGGACCATGAACTTTATTACTTAGTTGTTTGCACAGATGGTTTTTGGATCTGTAGATGCTTTGAAATGGTTCCAAGTGACTTCCCTGACTTATAAAGCTCAATGATGTTCTCTTCCAGATCTTTGCTGAGCTCCTCAGACTTTTCCACTGCAGTGTTTGTGTCTGAGTCTAATGAGTGGATCAGATGGTTCTGTTTAAACTCGCTCAGAGGAGTCAGTAGCTGGAGTCAATTGTAGTCACTCACGAGAAATTAAGAGGCCATGCTATTATAAAAATCTGGTGAACACAACTCTCTACATCACCAAAATAGTAATTCAAGTTGCTGTGTGTATATGTTTTAAAAATATTTTCACAACTGTATGTCAACCTTTAATTTGGCTGACCTCAGCAATAAATTAACTTGTGCAGACGAACTTAAGAAACATAGAATTTCTTCTGCTTTTGATTTGATTTGTTCACAATTATTTTACTTTCTGATGTTGCTTCACCTTTTCCAACAGTGACGTATGTGTGCAGTTCTCCCAGATCTGTATCCTTTTGCTGTTCTAAATGATGTCCATTCTTTCTTGGTTGAAGTGATGTGGGGCTACGACAGAAAGTTACGTAAAATTATAAATAATTGATTTTTGAGAGCTTAGACAGCCTATTGCATTGTTTCACGTAATAGCAATGTAAACCCAATTTCCTGCCTAGTTTCAAACTGCAGTGAGAGCTGTTGGGTTCATACCAAATAGACAAAGATTTTTCAAGAGGAACATAGTGATTCCAGCAACTCCAGTGAGTGAGATGTTTGCTCACATTTACTTTAACCCTTAAATGCATACTTTGGGTTGGTAGTTATGGTATTGGTGGCTTAATCTCTGTTATATACGTGCAACAAAGCAACTTTGTAATGGGATTTTGATAAAATTTTAGTTGATAAAAAGCATTTAGACATTTTTCCTCCGATAGATCATAAAAGTGACATTTTTTTTCTCTCACTATTTTTCACAAGCTACTTGATCAAAATACCTAAGGCTGTGCTTCAAAACTATTAATCTAATAATCACAAATTATTGATTTAATATCAGTGAAGTTTAACTGAAAGTGAATTGCCTTCTGAAATCGACATAATACAGGTGGACAGAAGATGTCACTCTGTTGGTGAAGCAAACCAACCTAATTACTGGTTTCATGTTGTTCTGTCATCAGAACAGTTACAGGTGATACTACCTGCCTCTGGTGATGTTCCTCATTTTAACTGGTGAAGGTACCGGTGTCACTGGGTAAAAATGAAAAACTGTTAGCTGACGACAGGTGCACCAGCACAGGTCCATGCATTAGAGTTGAGTGACTCCATGCACACTTCTTATTTCTTCACTGTCAGAGCTCAGATTTACTTGCCAATGTGATGAATTTTTTGCATTCTCACTCTCTAATTTTCATTTAGAGATGTAGTAAAATGTTGCACTGTAGAGTCCAACTGCCCCAAAGGAGGGCAGTGCAGCTGCAGTAGCAGGTAGAGTCAAACTTCTGACATGGCACCTCAGTATTTTGAGTATTGTGACTATTGTTATTTTTCTCTTTCCTTACCTTTCTGTTTTTGCTACAACATGGGGCATTTAAATCTTCTTTGTATGTATGTGATTAGCTAAGAGTGCTAATGATATGATTCATGTAAACACTCAGTACTGCAAAATATCAGTTGCTGCAATGTTATTCCTCAACCCCCCTGTTTGAAGATCCAGTGGTGTGCATACCATCTAGCTTTTTTATTGGAGAGAATGGGATTCCTCTGGAGGTCATCGCTGGAAGTGTGTCTGCTGAAGAGCTGATGAAGAGAATCAACAGAGTTAATCAGGTACAGACACAACGGTTGGATTGTATATAGTTTAATTTACGGATAACTCTAGCCACTAGTCAGCAACCACAGTTCTAGTATAGTTGTTACACATGACTAAAATAGAGTATAGTACAATTGTATTTTGATGACAACCACTCCTTTATCTGCAGCTCAGCAACACTGTAATATCTTCTACGTTTAAATGTACAGTTGGATGCAGAAGTTGAGCCATCTATTAGCAAATGACACATTCTGTTCACTTTGGAAGTGAGCAACCTTTGCAGCTAACACATTAAGCATAAGCCTATTTGCAAATGGTAATGCACTTTCTACTTCTTCACAAGTAATAGAAAAAAATTAATCCATGTGCAAACGTCTAGCTGTCATATCCTGTCAATACTTAATCCACTTTGGCAGATATGATTTGCAGTCCAAAGTGTTGAGTTTTTATGATGAGGTGGTGAGTAAGGTTTCTTTCTGATGGCTATCCCATGTTGGCTTTGTGCATCAGCACTGCTCACTGGAACTGGTACAGTACCACTCCTATGTTAGCTAACCTTCCTGCAGTTCCTTTTCGGCACGTGGGTCCAGATCTTGTCCGGACCTCTACAGTTCCTCTTACCTTCCATTTCTTGATTACATTTCAGACAGTGGATATTGCAGGTTTGAAACACTTTGAAATATTATTGTAATCCTTCCTGCACTGTAGCCGTCAGCTAACTACATCTTCAGACCTCAACCAGTTGCACCGAGGAGACCATGGTTGTTGTTACTGAATTTTGAAGATTTTACAAGCAGAAGGGAAGCAGAAACTTATACATACAAGCGTATTCATGAGTTTACATGTGAGTGAAAGTTATTGGCAGCTAACGCTGTAAAAAACACAAAATTTTAATGAGATCAACTGTGCTGAAACTGTGTCTTTTTCTATCATGATAAAATTGCAGTCACGTTTTGTTATTTTTTAGGCCTTTAGTGTAGAGGTAAGTGGAAAAGACAGGAAACGTAGGGAGAAGAGTGGGGAAAGGACATGCAGCAGATGATCTGCGGGTTGGACTCGATCCACAGCTGCTGCATCAGGGTCTGTCCACCCCCGTACATGGGTCACCTGCGCAACCTGTTGAGCTACCGCGGTGCCCACCATCACAGTTTTTAAGAAGCTGATTGAACCATGTATATGGCCTCATTTACATGTTTTTCTCTGTTGTCAACAACTATGAAATATGGTTAACACTCTCGAATAAGCAGAGGAAAATAGATAGATGAATATGACAGCTCAGCGGTAGTGTGGGACATCCATCCATCATCTATACACCGCTTAATCCTCACTAGGGTCGTGGGGGCTGGAGCCTATCCCAGCTGACTCAGGGTGAAGGCAGGTTCACCTGGACAGGTTACCAGTCTATCACAGGGCTACACTTAGAGACAGACAACCAAGCACACTCACATTCACAACCATTGACAATTTAGAATCACCAATTAACCTCAGCATGTTTCTGGACTGTGGGAGGAAGCCAGAGAACCCGGAGAGAACCCACGCTGCACAGGGAGAACATGCAGACTCCACGCAGAAAAATCCTGGGTGTCCTCATGGAGACACGAACCGGTGACCTTCTGGCTGTGAGGCGACGGTGCTAACCACCGAACCACCTTGCAGCCCTAGTATGGGACATTAAATAAAAAACGAAAACGGAAAGGTCTCATATAGTTTCCATGTTCAATATATACTTGCAATCGGTTGCAAGTATAAAACTATAAATATTTATAAATTTTCACTTTTATTATCACAGTGCTGTCTCCCTGTATGCAAATGTTCCACTTCAAGAATTCCACCTCTCACTATTTTGAGTGAGCACTGAAGTCACTGGTTTGTTTGAAGAAATACAAATAAGCCAAAGTGCTATTTTTCCATATAGCAGAATGATCGTGGGGTGCAGCCAGGTCATTATTTTCCACAGAATAAGCTGGCAAACTACAACTAATCCCAGGGTAATCCCATTTCATTTATGCACCCCTCTTCCTGTGTCCTTGACTGTCCTTGTATCGGTTTTAAGTCTAAGAGACAGCTAGCATCCATTCCATGTATGAACATTTCTTGGCAAACTACAGCAATTGAATAGGTGACACACACTTTTGCTTTATTTTCAAGCTGTGATTGCAAATTGTCAGCTGGCTCATCCACTTGACTAGCTATGGTAAAACTGATATTTGCAAATGTTTTTTGTTTTTATGTTTATTTTTTATTTTTTCGGGTGTGCAATGTGGCAAATGTTTAGCATACAGTTTTCCAGAAAATCCTCCTCTGTAAATGGCATCCCTAATTTGGCTATTTCTTCTGCTATCATGAAAGTTGCCTTTAAGTAACATATTTTGCTGTAGTTGCACACCTCTTTTCAGTTTAGCGACTTTCTGAAACCTGTATTCCATATTGCTACTAGTATGGTTTTAAGATGACAACAAAACTTACAGTCAAGGCCATAACTATTTGGACATTGACACAATTTCAGCTCTGTACACCTCCACATTAGATTTGAAATGTGCTTTAAGAGCAGACTTTCAGGTCTAATTTGATGGTATGTACATCCTAGTCAGCTGGACGGTTTAGGAAGTACAACACATTTTATATTCGCCCTCCACCTTTTTAAGGGACCAAAAGTAATTGGACAAAGTAACATAATCATAAGCTAAATTGTGACTTCTATTATTTGGCTGCAGGTTATTAGCAGTCAATCACAGCCTGAAGTCTGGAACCCATAGACATCACTTCCTGGAGAGTGTTCTTAATTAGGCCAACTGTTGTGAAAGGTTTTTTCATGACCAGAGGGCTGAACAATGAAGTGAGATTAGTGGGTCAGAGAGGTATGTTAATCCTAAAGTTAGAGTTTTCAGTGTCATGGACGTGGCTCTCTTTTTACCTGCTAGATCTCCATGGTAACTGATGCTGTGGAGCTAGGTCTCCATGGTAACTGATGCTGTGAAGCTGGGTCTCCATGGTAACTGATGCTGTGGAGCGAGATGTCCATGGTATCTGATGCTGTGGAGCTAACCTGGTCAGTAGCAGGTTATGTTCAGAGTTTCAGATTTAAATCAGCTGAAAGAGCGTCTCCCTTTAACCAGATCGTGTCCTGACTATTATTTTTGAGCGATACAGATTCTGCGTTTTATCTGCAAACATGCTAATCTGTGCGTTACTAGTATCACTGAATGAAGCCGTGTAGTTACAGTATCACACAGTGTACCATGCGTTGCCATGGGAACCTGATGTGTATTTAGTTGGTGATGCAGAAATCACACAAATATGTTTTATTTATGTATTATTTTATTATGTATTATATTATTAATTTTGTGCAGAAGAAGAGTCACGTTAAACGCCTCCTTTTACGTAAGCAGAGTCTGAAGCAGAAAGTCTGAGTTGACAAAGAAAGTTGAACCACCGTCATAATACCTGTGATTGCTGACTGGGGCTTTAGTTTTTGTCGAACCGATTTACACAAAGAAAGCCTGGCTATGTCGAACTTGCTTCGTAGTATACTCTTCTGGGAAAGGATTCTTCTGTCATCCACCACACTTGTTTTCTGTGGTCTTCTGGATATTTTGGCATTGCAGAGCTCACCAGTGCGTTCTTCCTTTTTAGGAATGTACCAAACTGTTGATTTGGCCACACCTAATGTTTTTGCTGTCTCTGAAAGGTTTGTTTAGATTTTTCAGCCAAATTGTATCTTTATTGATAGTGACAGCTCTTTGGACTTCATATTGAGAGTTGACCTCACCAGATTCCAAACGCAAATACCACACTTGAAATGGATGCTAGACCTATTACCTCCTCCTTGTAAATGAGATAATAGGGGAATAACACACACCTGGCCATGGAACAGCTGAGCAGCCCATTGTCCCATTACTTTTGGTCCCTTGAAAAAGTGGAAGGCGCATAAAAGGTGATGTAGTTCTTACACCGTCCACCTGATTTGGATGTAAATACCCTCAAACTAAAGCTGATAGTCTGCTCTTAAAGCACATCTTGATTGTTTCATTTCAAACCCATTGTGGAGGTGTACAGAGCTGAAATGCTGACAATTGTGTCAATGTCCAAATATTTATAGACCTGACTTTATTCACTTTGAAAACAGAGATGTTGTCATGGCAAATATAATCCATGGGCTTCTGTTTACATTCTGTAAAGAAGTACTCAGTCTCTCGTCTTTCTTGAAAATGTCGTTCTTCATCACCAACTTTCCCATTTGGTGCCATCCTGTGTCAGCTTACTAGCTTACCGACTGCAAAGGTGCATCTGTCTGCTTCAGTGTGAGGCATTCACAGGGCATGCGTCAATGTTTAGACCACACCTACAACTAGGCAGAACAAAATTGAGGGGCTGGATTTGGCCCGCGGGCCTTGAGTTTGACGCATGCTCTAACACATAAACTACTGCTAATACAGCTGCTGAATTTGCATGGTGTTATTTCTGGTAATAATTATTTTTTTGCTTCCTGACAGATGCACGCTCAGGAGGTTGGAGGTGGGACCAGAGTGTTACCAGAGGCAAGTGGTTGTATAGGGACCAGCCCACCTGACAGGACAGCCACAGAACCTGCCTCAGCTCTAGCAGTGCCTGCTATGTCAGAAGCAGCAGCCACATACCCTGCAGCAGTGACAAAAACAACAAAAGGTGACTGCACTCACTATTCACTGGGCATATAAAATTTGGACCCTTGTGCGCTTCAACTTCAGTTTAGTTTTCATAGCACAGAAAAGAAACCACTGTAGTCCTTTTCTGATTTAAAAGTTTTGGAATAAGAAAGAGATGGAAGGACACATTGCAGTCAAAGAGAAACAACTGAAATGAAGTACAATTAAAGTGCTAATAGGAAAATAGGAAAAATAGGAGTTCTCTAGAGTTATATTTTAAACATATGTGACATCAGGTACATGAAATGACTTTGTTCTGTACCTAATTCGTAGGTATGATAAAAGCAAAGAAAAGTTCAGAGTTGTGCAGGAACAAAAAATAAACAGGATCTGCAATCAAGTTTCTAAATACTGTCTTCACTAGTCAGCCACACACAAGAACCACTAACACCCGGTAAGTGGTGTGATTATTCACCAATTAGTGAACAGTCAGTTCTTAAAGTTGACGGAAGCAGGAGAAACTGGCAGCATAAGGGTATGAGTGACTTTGACAAGAGCCAAACTGTGGATAAATAATTGGGTCAAAGCATCTCCAAAATGGAAGGTTTTGTAGGGTGTTCCTACTATGCAGTGATTAGCACCTACTAATAATGGTCCTTTGAAGGACAATTGGTGAACCAGTGAGGGCTCATTGATGGGTGTGTACAGCGCAGACTGGCCCCTGTTGTCTGATTTCACAGACCAGCTATTGTTTTACAACCTATTAAAATCTGAAATTCTATGATATAAAGATGTGAGAACATACAGTGCATTGCACCTTGACATGTATATGGCTGCATAGGTGAAGTGCCCATGTTGACCCTTCACTGCCTACAATCGGCTTGTGACCATCAGAAATGGTCCATGGAGCAATGGAAGGTAGCCTGGTGTGATGAATTACATTTTCTTTTCTTATTATTAATAATAATAATAATAATAATAATAATAATTAATCAGATTTATGGCGCTTTTTTAGGCACTCAAAAACACTTTACAATGCCAATTATTTTTTCACACACATTCATCCCGGTCATGGTAGCTACGGTTGCAGCCAGAGCTGCCCTGGGGGAGACTGACGGAGGCCTGGCTGCCATTCTGCCCTCCGACCACCACCTCAACAATCCATTCATACGCATTCACACCAGGCAAGGTGGGTGAAGTGTCTTGCCTAAGGACACAACGACCATGACACAGGTTACAGGGTGAAATCGAACCGCTGACCTTCCGATCATTGACCGACTCGCTCTACCGCCTGAGCCCCAGCCGCCCAGCTTCATTTACCTGTGCAGCATAATGCACTATGGAAAGCCTGCCATAAATGCTCCATAAATGTAAATAATATTTTGCTAAGGTCCTCGAATTCACCTATATGGTACTTCACATTCTTCTCTTCTTTTTTTTTTCTTTTTTTTGTAGCTTTTAAGTTCTCCCTGACACCTCCTTGTGGCTGGTTGGGGTCATCACAGAACTGAGTGATCTCTTTCTGCATATTCTGTCATTGTTGGCATTGAAATGGACTGCCTTGATTTTAGTGTTTTTACCAGCCAGTCAGCTAGTGTCAGTATGCAAAAGTCTGTCATGGCCAGGCAAAATGACATTAGTGCTGTCGTCACACTCAACTCAACTTTATTTATAAAGCACTTTAAAAACAACCACTGCTGACACAAAGTGCTCTACATCAAGAATAAATAATACAAAACATAAAACAAACAATTAAAACAGTTAAAACAATAACAACAATAAAATGATAAATACAAGAGCAAAGTCTCATGCTGTGTCAAAAGCCAAGGAGTGGGTTTTAAGAAGAGTTTTAAAAATAAGCAGTGAAGAGGCCTGTCTAATGTACAAGGGCAACTTGTTCCATAAACTCCATAATGGATGTCGTGTTTTGTTTTTTTGTTTTTTTTTTTGGTTCTGTGAGTCTCTTTTTTTCTTAACATTTTCAGAAATAAGCCATCGCAAAAACATCTTGTAGTGGCCATGGGGACCAATTTGTTTTCCACCATAACTAAATTATGTATTTTGCAAGAACATATATGAAAATATAGCCTAGATTCTGAGATAGTGTGATTTCCTTCTCTATGAATTCCTCACCAACTATTCACCTGGACAATTAGTGATGATGTACGTGGTATTATTGTAATCCTTGTACATCAATGTAGTGGGCTGCTTTTTTGTTAACTGACTCAGTCAAACTCTCCCTGCCTGCACAGGCACTGTCGTCATCAGGTGGGTCTGATTTGGGATCCCCCCCTCTCCACCGCCAGCCTCCTCTCTCCCCTAATTTGTTTTTTTGAAATAATCAGCTATGCATAGATTAGTCATTCTGTCTGTCTGTCTGTCTGTCTGTCTGTCTGTCTGTCTGTCTGTCTGTCTGTCTGTCTGTCTGTCTGTCTGTCTGTCTGTCTGTCTGTCTGTCTNCAACTTTTTCCTGTAGTCCTCCTTACACTTCTTAGTCTGTTTTTTCAGTTGTTTTTGTGTGATCTTCAATAACTCCCTGTCTCCATCCCTGAAAGCTTTCTTTTTGGTGTTCAGCAGTTTTTTCAGGTCACTGCTGATCCAGGGTTTGTTATTGGGGAAGCACCTCACTGTTCTTGTTGGAACGATGCTGTCCACACTGAAGTTTATATAATCTGTCACACACTCAGTCATGGTGTTGATGTTGTCTCCATGAGGTTCACAGAGGACATTCGAGTCTGTGGCCTCAAAGCACCCTCTCAGAGCATCCTCAGCCTCCGTAGACCAGGTTTTAATAGTCCTCCTAATGACTGGCTGCTGCTTAATGATGGGCTTGTAGGTAGAGGTGAGAAGAACCAGATTATGATCTGATCTTCCTAAAGGAGGCAGGGCAGAGGAGCTGTATGCATTCTTAATATTTGCATAAAATAAGTCCAACGTCTTATTTTCTCTGGTGGTGCAGCTGACAAACTGCTGGAAAGTTGGTAACGTAGCAGAGAGGGAGACGTTGTTGAAGTCTCCAGAGATCGCCATGAATGAGTTTGGATGATAAAGATCAGTTGCATCAACTGATGCATCAACCTAAATTGTGTCAGATATTTGCACCTAGTTTTTTCATAGTTAACGTCTCCCCCAAATTCTGGTCTGAAACTCTCCGTTATACATAAAGAATAGCCTTACATGCACTATTGCTACAACATTCCTATTCAGATATTTTACTGGATGAATGGTAGTCAGTTGTGTAATAGTTATGCATAACTAGATCTGATTGTGAAACAAACATTAGCAGTTGAGACAAAACCTTACGAACCTACTGGCTCTGTGAAACGGAGTAAAGCATGAGTTAGGTATAGTAAGACCAGATTCTATGAGTATGTATAGCTTTCCAAGTGTCACCCACCTGTCAAGCATGTTGCCCATTAACATTGCCAGGGATGTGCATGAACTCTGAGTCTCTTTTTCAATGCGCACACACACACACACACAAACAATGGACTGCTAGTGAACCATGAGGTGATATTCACTAAATTGATCAAAAATGTTCTGGATTAGAATCACAGATGAGCTCTACCTGTAACAATTTAGCCTTTTGTTGAGTTGGAGCTGGCAATCCTTATTGAAATCAGTGAGGTTATACTGTTTATAGCATGACTTAAGTAGATGAAATGCATGATATCAAATTTGAAACTATATATAGCAGTAAAACTCAATGGAGTATGGATAGACTTTGCTTACTCTATGTTGACAAGATGTCAAGTATCAACTTACCTCTCTGGTTTTCTTTTGTGTTCTTCTTTTACACAGCATCCCTCTCAAGTGCAGTGGATAAGGACAACCTTTTAGCCACAGAGTGTATTGCAGAGACTGCACCTTCTGACTGTGCTGCTCAGTGTTCTGAGAGTGAAGAAAACCTTGACACTAAGGTAGAAAGGTAAGAGCACTCATACATGTCAAGCTCAGTGCAATCTACACAGAAATTTTGCTTTCAGTTGCATTGGCGATACTTAGGAAAATCTCTGTGGCAGTAAGATAGCAGGTAACCAACTATTCACCAGAAGAAGAACTAAAGATGTTCCTGAGAAGAGTCCCAAAGGAAATTAATTTAATTTTGCTTGAGATATGTGCAGAACTAGGCTGTAGTCCAACCTTGGAAAACAAAATTGATTGGACATAGTTGAGAAACACAATTATGTATTTATGGCCCCACATGTATACAGCATGTCAGGACAAAAATCAGACCATGACGCCAAACTCTCTATAAAGCTCTTTGACAAATTCAGGGCTAGATCAGATCTTGGGTAAAAAACGTTCTTAAAACTTTTAGTGTTCCCAGGAGCACTGTGGCCTCAATCATTTTGAAATGGAAAGTTTTAAACACCCCAAAATCTTCATGTCCAGCCAAACTACGTAACTGAGCAAGAACGACTTTGGTCAGTGGGCCCATTAATTCAATATTAGTCTAACAGAGCTCCAGAAGTCTCCTGCAGAGATGTGAGAAGCTGCCAGAATTACGGCCGACGACCCTGAGAAACACTCAGTCCTTTATAGTAGAATGACTAGACGAATGCCACTTGAGCAAAACACACGACAGCCAACCCAATCTCACAGCAATTCGTGAAATGGTCATGAAAGAAGGACACATGCAGGAAAACAACGACCGGAAGATGAACTGTGATTGCAGCAATGGATAATCTGACTATTGTAACTGAGAGGCCAGCGGTGGGGAATGTATCTGTAGCTTTGTGCAGCTTTTAGCTAGCTTGTCGAGGTTGGCTACAATAGCTACTAGCCTAGCCTAGCTACTGCTGCTCCCTCTTCTTCTATTGATTTGGCGGTTGGCATCCAACGTTCAGGTGCATTACCGCCACCTACTGTACACAAAAACATTACAGACTCTGTAGGATGGATCTCTTCCAGGTCTACAGCAAGGCTACACGCTGATGCTAACAGGGTTGCCTTAGCAACGAGTGCAAATTTCCCCCAGACACTGCTGGTGTAATAAAAACAAAAAACATACCACAATACGATGTACTCTTTTACAATTATTTCATACTACATGTATTATACTTTAACAGTAGCACATTTGTCACTACTTCAATCCGTTTATTTTAGTCTATTAATACAAAAACACAACCCTAGTTGTAAACCCCCCCAAAAACAACATATTTCATGGCGTGTCCAATCGCGTTGTATTGTAATGCAACTGGAAGTTGTTGTTCTTTCTTCAAAATAGCCATTTCTCCTAAATGGATGGTGAAATATAAAACTTTAGATGCATTTAGGGGTTTAAATTGTGGAGGAACCCGTTTATTTGAACTTACTGTACAAATGAAATTGATATATATAGATGAAGTTAAATTTTTACCACATTTTGTGATGCTCCCTGCGGGTGAAAACATCAAGCCACAGCATAGATGATAGTAGTCAAGAGCTTTGTATAACAGTTGGTCCCATGATTCTAGCCCCTTTCATTGTTGAATTAGAAGCTTTAAAAGATGCACCAAAGTCAAGGGTTGGGGTTAGGGAGCAACTTCGAACTTCCAGACTGACATAATCTTACTCCCCTGATCAGGTCCTTTCCAATGATGTAGCATGTTTAGTCCTATGACAAAGTTTTAATTTCCACCCCTCTGAATCCAGCCCTGTGTCAGGTGGAGTTTTCCAGGAGATATGTGAAGCTCAAGTGGATAAAATTAAAATAAAATAATTTTGTTCAACATAGTGGGTAAATTTGTCGATGACAGCGTTGATAGCTCACTTGGTTGAGCTGGCGTCCCATGTACAGGGGCTGAAGTCCCCAACGAAGTGGCAGTGCGTTCGAATCCAGCTCATGACACTTTGCTGCAGGTCCTCCCCCCATTCTTCTCCCCCACTTTCCTGTCCCCCTCTTCACTATACTATCAAATAAAGGCACGAAAGGCCAAAAAAAAAACTTAAAAAAAGATGTTTATCCTGTTATTTTAGGGTCCGAGCACTACAGTGCGTAGGACTCTATTGTAAGTCGTGATAATTTTTATACCGACTTTTGAAATGCGATTTTTAAGGCCTAAACATGCATGAAAACTCACCAAAATTGCCACGCACATCAGGACTGGTGAAAATTTTGATATTTTAAGGGAGTTGACATGTCAGTGCCAAAATGGCTCGACAGTGCCACCTTGAAAATTTCAACAGACTCCCATCGGAAGCACGCTTAACCTAGACCTACACAATTTGGTAGGTATATGGAGGAGGTCAGGACAATCAAAAAAGTCAGTAACAACCATAGCCTAAACCCAACAGGGAGTAGCCATTTTGGATTGTTCGTTTGTCCAACCTGAGCTAGCTCCTCCTAGGGCACATATGTCAAACTCAAGGCTCGCGGGCCAAATCCGGCCCGTCACGTCATTTTATGTGGCCCGCGACAGATATGTGTTTCCTAATCTGATAAATAATAGGATCATAATATAATGTTATTTATGTTATGATAACACAGCAATGTGCCTACACCGGGCTCCAGACTGAGACCAAAATGTTCTGATATGTGACCATGACCACATGTGCGACTTAAAGGTTCATGTGGTCGCATTGTGCGAGTGAAGGATGATCATCAGGCTGATCTGGTTCCTCCCGTCGGCACAGGTAGCTGCTGCTCCAGTTACTGTGGTTGGAAATAGTCATATTTCTTCCCCATTGACTCAGTCTCTCTCTGCCTGACCGGTTTCACTGTTACTGTGTTCCAATGACACAACCATACATAGCTGATTATGTTAAAAAATTTTTAAAAAAAAGCGAGGTGAGAGCGGGAGAGGTCCGACACGCCTGATGGTAAAAGTGTTCAGGTGCAGGCAGACAGATCTTGACTGAGTCAGTTAGGAAGAAAAAGCAGCCCCACATCCAATCTGGAAGATTCAAATATTAACAACGATCACTGTTTTGACTACATGATGGCCAGTGGTCTGGACATTTAAATTGCGCTCAGCTCGTAGAAAAGTCCGTTCATAAAAACCTCTGCTAAAAATGCTGCTCATAGAAAACTTTTCAACTTCGGCAAATTAGTGCAGAACGCGCTTTCCACTGTTTTCCAGCTAATGTTTGGTCGCTCATCTGTCAGAGGAGCTGCACTGCAGACACCTGGTAGCATCTACCGGAGCAACATGTGAGGCATTCATGGAACATCGGTAAAATGTAGCATCTACCGGAGCAGCATGTGAGGTGTTTAGGGAACGTCGGTAAAATGTAGCATCAACTCATGCACATGTGACATCAGAAGAGGACTGGTGACAAAAAAATATATATTTTCAGGTTAAAATATTTTACAAATATCAAGTCTTGTATCACTGAAAATAACTGCAACAAGTTATGCAAAACCAGCTATTCATCTGCTGCATGGTGGATTAACAGCTGTGGCAAAGCTGAACCAAAACAAAGGGGTGGGCGACCAAATCATTAGCTGGTGCAACCAACAAAGAAAGTTGGCAGCACCAGTGCTACCATTGGAAAAGTTAGTCTGGAGCCCTGCTACATGTATTTTACTTTTAGATAAAGGCATGCACAATAGTTGTACATATAGTAAATAACAATCAAATGCAGAGACAATTATTTGACAATATGTTAAGGAGTCGTTACATTTGTACAGTCTGACAATTACAACTGGCCCTTTGAGGGCAAACATAATGCTTATGTGGCCCCAGATGAAAATGAGTTTGACACCCCTGTCCTAGGGGTAAGTGACAGAGCGCTGAAATTTGGGGAGCATGTGGAATACGCCTTGAAAATAAAATGTTATCAAAATCTTCTGCAAAGGTCAAAGGGTGTGGCCACAATGGCCCTCTGATTTTTGATCCTTCGCCATGAAAGAGAAAGTACTGTGTAACAACCCTATACATGCTTCAATCAGCCTCGAACTTTTCATAATTGATCAGACCGCTGTCCTGATCACATCCATATGCCCAAATCCATTCACAGTGATAGCGCCACCTATTGGTAACAGGCTGTTTGAGGCATTAGACTCCCATGTACCATTGCTTCAAACTTTGTGATATCATTCTTAAAATTGGTCAGCTAAGTCTTGTTACACTGACAATGCGACAGTGTGAAGCATTTGCATTTTCAAGCAACGGTGTTGCCATGATGACGCATAGTTCCTATGACATGGAAAGGAATTTTTGACAGCTTTGGAATGCTCATAACAATTCTCTATCGGCTCAACCACAGACAATATGTGCCTGTTTGGCAAAATGGCTCAATAGTGCCCCCTGCAGCAATTTACCCATTTGCCCCCGCTGGACACTTAAGTGACGTTTACAAAATTTGGTAGGCATATGTAACACATCAGGACGCATAAAAAAGCCTCTTGGACCCATACCATAAACTCAACAGGAAGTCCACTATTTTGAAATAACTGTGCAGTTTATTGTGTTTTTTGTGATATTCAAGAGCTAACTCCTCCTAGGGGTTAACTCCTACATGCCTCAAATTTGGCCAGCGCATACAACAGGGCTTGGTGATTAAATATTATTAACAAGCTCCCCAAAAGTCTGAGGGCATGGCTGATTTTTGATCCTTTGCCATCACAAAGGAAGCATGTCTAACGACCCTGTACATGCTCCAATCTGCCTCAAACTTTACATACTTGATCACAGTCCTGTCCTGATGAAACCCATACGCCAATATCCATTCACAGTCATAGTGCCACCTGCTGGCAATAGGAAAGAACATGTTTTACACTTTTATGTGCTCTTATTAGCAGGTTGACCGCGCTGGCTAAATTTGAGGCGTGTAGGAGTTAACCCCTAGGAGGAGTTCGCTCTTGAATATCACAAAAAACACAATAAACTGCACAGTTATTTCAAAATGGCGGACTTCCTGTTGAGTTTATGGTATGGGTCCAAGAGGCTTTTCTGTGCGTCCTGATGTGTTACATATGCCTACCAAATTTTGTAAACGTCACTTAAGCGTCCAGTGGGATCTAATGGAGAAATTGCTGCAGGGGGCGCTATATAGCCATTTTGCCAAACAGACACACATTGTCAATGGTTGAGCCGATAGTGACTCGTATGCCAATTTTGGTGACTTTATAAGCATTCTAAAGCTGTCAAAAAGTCATTTCTGTCTCAAAGGAACTATGCGTCATCACGGCAACACTTGCTTGAAAATGCAAATGCTTCACACTGTTGCATCATCAACATGAGAAGAGTTAGCTGACCAATTTTAAGAATGATATCACAAAGTTTGAAGCAATGGCACATGGAAATATAATGCCTCAAACAGCCTGTTACCAATAGGTGGCGCTATCACTGTGAATGGATTTGGGCATATGTATGTGATCAGGACAGCAGTCTAATCAAATATCAAATAGTAAAGTTTGAGGCAGAATGGAGCATGTACAGGGTAGTTACACAGTACTTCCTCTTTTATGGCGAAGGATTAAAAAGCAGAGGGCCGCCGTGGCCACGCCCTTTGACCTTTGCAGAAGATTTTGCTAACATTTTACCTTCTAGGCGTATTCTACAGGCTACCCAAATTTCAGCGCTCTGTGAATTACCCCCTAGGAGGAGTTAGCTCTGGGTGGAGAAACAAATAATCCAAAATGGTGGACATCCTGTTGGGTTTAGGTCAGTGGCCACCACTGATCAGCTAATCGAGCTCTGTGGATCTGCTCCGGTCCCTCCTCCTTAATGACCCGGATGTGTGGCAGTGAAATTCAGATTCTATGATTCAAAGTACAATTTTTATTTCAATTATTTAAGTTGAGCAGTACAAATTAAAAAATAAATAATCTAAATGCCGTTTCTGGTGGCACAAATTTCAGGGATCAGCTATTTCTAGTTTGCAGTAATTATAAAGTACCACATTGCTGGATCTTTGTCTAAAATACTCTCACATTTTAGATAAACCTAGGCAAGGTTTTTCTTTAACCTGCAGTTTGTTCTCTTGGGGAATCCATGCTTTGACTTAGCCCAGCTATTTCACTACATCCTCTCGTTTTAATTACTGACTTCATTATGTCGCTAAGTGATCTTAGTCTTACCACACTGCAATTTGATGTTTATGTTTTTGTGTTCCTCGAGAAGCGCTTGTCTAACAACCGCACACTCAACACTGCCCTTCCTTGGGTCACCAGCAGTACACCCACTAACTTTGAAGTCGATCAAATGAATGAACCATCCCAGTATACTGTGAATAGCTTGATCCAACCAATGACATTTAACTAGAACCTGCAGTCCAGAATCTTATTTAATTGTAATTTGGACAAATAAAACAGAAATGAGCCATTCAAAACACAGATATATCACATAGAGGTACAGTGGCAAGAAAAAGTATGTGAACCCTCTGAAATGTCCTAGTTTTCTACATTAATTGTTCATAAAATGTGATCTGATCTACATCTAAGTCACAAGTATAGACAAACACAATGTGCTCAACATAATGCCACACAATCAATTATAATATTTCATGTCTTTATTGAACACATCCATTAAACACTCATAGTGCTGGTGGAAAAAGTAAGTGAACCCTTGGGCTAATGACTCCAGCAAGAGCTAAGTGGAGTCATGTGTTAGCAAACCTGGAGTCCAATCAATGAAGCAAGATTTGACTAAGATGTAGAGCTACTGTGACCTATAAAAAGCACTCAAACATTTTGAGTTTGCTATCTACAAGAAGCATCTGCTGATGTGAACCATGCCTCGCACATAAGAGATCTCCAAAGACCTACGATCACGATCAAGAATTGTTGATTTGCACAAGACCGGAAGTGGCT